CACGAGATCGGCCGCTCCATCTCCACCCTCATGTCCGACAAGGTCAGCCACCCCTGGGCTAGGCCCTGTGCCCCAGAGCTGGGATGCCCCCCACCTATCTTGCCCAGCCTTGCTCCAGGACCCTCAGCCCTCATCTTGCGTCCTCACCAGTCCTGGTCCCTCTTTGGCAGCAATTCCACGAGGCAGCTTACCTGGCAGACGAGCGGGAGGACCTGCTGACGGCCATCAACGCCTTCCTGGACTGCAGTGTGGTGCTGCCGCCCTCGGAAGTGCAGGGCGAGGAACTGCTGCGATCCGTTGCTCACTTCCAGCGCCAGATGCTCAAGAAGCGAGAGGAGCAGGGCCGGCTGTTGCCCACGGGGCCTGGGCTAGAGCCCAAGTCAGCCCAAGATAAGGGTACGGGCCAGTGCAGGCTGGGGCCCAGGGCTGGGCTGTCTGGGTTGGGGCTGGAGGGGGTTGGGCCGAGAGTGGTCTGTTGTGTGCAGAGAAGAGCTCGGTGGCGGGAAGAGGGCTGCAGCAGGTGCCCTGATGGAGGCCTGGGTTGCAGCGCTCCTGCAGATGGTAGAGGCGGCAGATGCAGTGGAAGATGATCCCCTTCGGCGGACAGGCCGGCCTTTTGGGGGCCTAATTCGAGATGTGCGGCGCCGCTACCCCCACTACCTGAGTGACTTCCGAGATGCACTCGACCCCCAGTGCCTGGCCGCCGTCATCTTCATCTACTTTGCGGCCCTTTCTCCTGCCATCACCTTCGGGGGACTGCTGGGTAAGGAGCGGCTTCGGGTGGGGGTGGGGAGCACACAGGGCCCCAGCCGCCAGCCCCTAAACTGGTTCCTGCCACCCTAGGAGAGAAGACGCATGACCTGATTGGGGTGTCGGAGCTGATCATGTCCACGGCACTCCAGGGCGTGGTCTTCTGCCTGCTGGGGGCCCAGCCGCTGCTGGTAGTTGGCTTCTCGGGGCCCCTGCTGGTCTTCGAGGAGGCCTTCTTCTCGGTGAGGGTCCACGGGCCACTTGGGATGGCTCTTCTGGCCCAGCTCACCTGCCCTTCCTCTTCCCTCAACACTCTACCCACTCCCACCATGTTAGCCCCCAGGCTCTGAACCTGACTGTGCCCTTCCCCACTCCCTCTCCCCCAGTTCTGCAGCAGCAACAACCTGGAGTACCTGGTGGGCCGGGTGTGGATTGGCTTCTGGCTGGTGCTCCTGGCCTTGCTCATGGTGGCCCTGGAGGGGAGCTTCCTGGTGCGCTTTGTCTCCCGTTTCACCCAGGAGATCTTTGCCTTCCTCATCTCCCTCATCTTCATCTACGAGACCTTCTACAAGCTGGTTAAGGTGGGCAGGCCCTGATGGTAACTGGGCTGGGAGGCGCGAGCCTTTGGGACCTAGAGGGAGCCAGGGGTGTCCTGCCCCTTTCTGTTCTCTCCTCCAAGCGTGAGGCCAGGCTGCCCTCAGAGCCCCCTTGGGCTGCAGCCCAGAACCCACAGCCAGGGCGTGGGCTGGTCCTGCCTCCTGCCCACCACGCCCACCCTCCCCGTCACCAATGTACACACCAGGGCTTCAGGTCAGTCTTAAAAACTCATATATTTTTAACAACAAAGAAAACTTACGCTTTTGTCAAACTGGCAAATGACCCAGAATGTCCAACGGGAAGGTCCCCAAGATGACAAACACGGTCACAGTCTGGGCATCAGACTCATGTCTGTGTGTCAGGATCAGAAGTGTGGCCTCATGGCCTGCCACACTCCACATGCTGCTCTTCCAAGCTGGGCTGGAGCCATGTTCCTAGCTGCCTTCCCGAATTAGACCAGCATCTCTCTTAATGCCCAGTTGTCCTATGCTCACATCTGGTCACCTTGGTCAATCAATAAGACAAACTCCTTGAGGGCAGTCCGGCCCCAACACCCAACCTGTCCCGCTCAGTGTACAGCTGAGTCCCAGAAATGTTGCCAGTTTAGCTGATGGAATCCTTTGTCCTCTCCCCAGATCTTCCAGGAACACCCTCTCCACGGCTGTTCAGTCTCTAATAGCTCCGAGGCAGACAGTGGCGAGAACATCACTTGGGCCAGGGCAGAAGCCACACTGGGGCCGGGGAATGGGAGCTCAGCCAGGCCGTCTGGGCAGGGGAGGCCTCGGGGCCAGCCCAACACGGCCCTGCTGTCGCTGGTGCTCATGGCTGGCACCTTCTTCATCGCCTTCTTCCTGCGCAAGTTCAAGAACAGCCGGTTCTTCCCTGGCCGGGTGTGTGGGCTGGAGGGAGGCAGGGGCTAGGGGTGGGAAGAGAGGTGATTCAGAGTCAGGGCTGGAGCGAGATGAAGGGCCTCTGAGTGTGGTGCTTGCCCACAGGTACGGCGAGTGATTGGGGACTTCGGGGTGCCCATCGCAATCCTCATCATGGTGCTTGTGGATTACAGTATTGAGGACACCTACACCCAGGTATGGTGGAGCACATGCAGCAGTGAGGTGTTGCCTGGGGCAGGACTCGACATTCCCCTCTAGGCCCCCGACTCCCGAGCTGCCTCTAAACTGTGCAGACACCAGGCCTTTCCCACAGCATGCCCTCCCAGTGCAGCTCAGGGCACCCCCTCCAAGGTTCACCGGCCTCTGGCCCCACCCTCTGCTCTGCAGAAGCTGAGCGTGCCCAGCGGAGTCTCCGTGACAGCCCCAGAGAAGCGAGGCTGGGTCATCAACCCCCTGGGGGAGAACAGCTCCTTCCCCGTGTGGATGATGGTTGCCAGCCTGCTGCCTGCCATCCTGGTCTTCATCCTCATCTTCATGGAGACGCAGATCACCACGTGAGTTGTCCTAGCAGAGGGTGTGCTGTGCAGACAGGCA